AATTTCTTCTAAAGTTCAAGATTTAAGATTTTATTATAGACAAAAAAATGCTTTAAATTTGTTGAGAGGAACAAATCTTGAATGTGTTTACTTCTCTTCATATAAATGACTCAGAATTTTTAGATTGTCTTCGCAAAACAAGTAATTTTACAACTTTGATCACCATTTCTAAAACCGCTGCTTTGCAGTAATTTTTAATATAACCAAAATGTATAACGGAGAAACAAACAAAACAAATTAATACTATTAAATATTGAAAATTTTTTAAAAATACCACTTTTCAAGTACCACTTTACAAAAATGCCACATTTTTGAAATCTTTACAAAAGTGCCACTTTTTCAAAATTATTTTTTCTTTATATTATTTATGTTTGGGTTAATTATGTTCTATTAGAGTTTAGTTTTGAGTGTTTACGGGGTTTTAGGTGTCAAAACATTTTTTACGGTTTAGAATTTTAAAATATAGGTTTTATAAATCTATAATTAGTGGCATTTTTGTAAATAGACACTCCTAATTGGCATTCTTGCAAATATGGACAGAAAAAGTGGCATTTTTGTAATTGCTTCTTAAATATTTGTGTAGAATCGTTCTAATTGGTTGTCCCAGACATATCAATTTTCAATCGTTTTGTTCCAGCTAGAATACAGATTGAAATAACTGGTGTGTTGTTTTCAAAACTATTGGAAGAAGAAACAATCTCAAAATGTATCAGAGGAACAAACAAAAAACAATTTTAGTGTATACAGTAGTAGATAGCAGTGAAAGAAAATAAGATTCTTACAAATTGATTATCATTAGACTCTGCATTTACCATTTTCACCAATGGGTAGGTAAATCATGCATCGTCTGTGTGAAACTCCTTCTCCACCTCCGCAACTGTCTTCTTTGCATCTTCAATCTCTGGACCTTCCTTTTCGTCCGTCTCTTCCAATTCCGCCTGCAAATTCAGTTTTTGTTAGTGACAAAACACAGAGTAGGAATTTCACGGTGCACTTATTCATTGTTTTTCTTCAAAGAAGGACTAAGATACTTTTATGCATGGGATGATCCGAATATGCAATCACTATATATACATAAATGTTTTAGTTTGAAACTAAAGTGCTTCCAAACTTTGAGATCACACTTTATGGTTTGTTATAGACTACATCGAGATCATCCCATCTTTTAGATTGAGAATGAAATGGAGTGCTCCTAAATTTCAGATCACACTCTATGACTTTGTTATAGGCTCACATGTATAAAGCTAAAACGACAGAAAGCGTATATACCAAAGTGGACTTGAGGTCAGCTAATGCAGCCTCAAGACGTTTGTGGCAATCCGGGATCATCATCCTTGATTCGCCAAGCACATTTTCCTGCATCACCCACATGGAAAAATAAGGAAAACCCGAGTCTGAATCAAAATCAAATGGCTAAAAACCGAGTCTGTAACCATTTAGCAGACATGATACAAATGGCTAATCACAAGAAATTCAATGCATAAAACATCCTAATTCAATAAGGAAAAACCGAGGCTGAATCAGAATTCAATGACTATTAACAGATTCTGTAGCCATTAAGCACACACGATACAAATGGCTGATAACAAGTAATTCAATGAATAAACATCCTATCATGACAAAAAATGAGCATTTCTAGAGAAACTTTCTGACGAACAAAGACAGTTCTGAATATATCAACACCAATAGAATC